TGCTGAACAGTGCTCTGCCCGGCAGACTCACCTTTGGCAACCAAATGCTTCCATTTGTACCTCACTGAGTGGAGGCACACAGAGATCTGTTAAATGTACCTGCCTCCCATTCCTCCACTCCAGAACACTCCAGAAGCAGCAGCAATTCCTTTCCCTCTGCAGCAGCATCTTCCTACCAGTTCTAGGAGCATCAGAGATGATAGAACCCAAGCAAAGTGCAAACCTTCAAGCCTGTGATGGACAGAATCTGCCATCTCTCTGGTTGGAAGCCTTGCTGGTTTGATTACAGCAATCTCTTACCACAGAACTTCTCTGACCCAATAAGCATTTTGCCAAAGAGATCTTCTTGCTAAAGAGGAGCAGAAGTGCTTTGCAGAGAGACTTTCCATCGTGCAGTAAACAAACAACTGTGATTTCTAAAAGGATCTAATGCTTAAAAACCCAATTCAGAGAACTTCCTGCCCCCAATATTGGGTTTTGAAGTTCAGCATATGTTACCAGCAGATGATCTACCTAAAAAGAGATGCTCATCTATTCTTGGATAGAACTCATTATGCTTGGTTATATACAAAGTGTGATCAAATCAGAAAGCTTCTGTGCAAGAGTGACGTCAAGGCCCTTGCGTGATCTCACACAAAGCTCTGATCTGGACTGAAGCATCTTTCAAGCACAGGTCCAGCAGTAGCACCCTTTCACCCACAGCACACCAGGGACTAACCAGCAGGCACCAACTGTGCTTCCGATGCAAAAAGCACGTTCTTGAATACTGAAATAAATTTATGACTTTAGAGACATGATTTAATGCTCACATGTCCTGAGAGAGGGGAGGTGCGGACAAGTATTACCTTCGTTTTATAACTGGGGAGACAGCATCTCTCAGAGGAGCTCAGCATGCAAATTGAGATTAGAATCAGAATACTCTTGGCTCCTGCCTGAGATAAAGTAACAAACCCAGGCTCTGGGTGGGGGGGAACCCCGGAGAAATCAGGAAGCATTTTTCTCCTTTGCTGCAAGGATTCCATATTCTGCTCCAGTGATGAATTACAGTCACATTTACTGCAGCTGCTTCCAGTAGGCCAGGGAAGGAGCATCAATTACCAGCCCAAGAGGAAAAGACTAAATCAATAGTAGAAGGACTCTGCTTACTTTGTGACTGGGTTTTTAATGCCCTGTCCATCCGAGCCGAGTCCATCGCCTTCCTTCCAGCCCATCTTTATTAGCATTTGATAACCTATATTTTCCACAGTCAGTTTGAACTCCTTGTATTCGGAATAATCTGGCTCCCGTCCTTCCTGCAGAGGCACAAAAAGAACTGTTGGTTATTCTTTTCTCTTTGTGGGGCAGAGGAAGGGAAAACCAGCTTCAGCTACTCCAAGTTAGGATGGCTCTGGCAAGCAATTAACCACTAGCACCATTCCCTGCGATTCCAGCTCTGCATCACCACAGAGGAAGAAGCAGGTAAGTGATAAAGCACTGCACGGCCCCAGAACTATCTGCAAGAAGCAGGGAATGCTACTGTGAGATTAAGCCGAGAAATATTTAGCTCCTGAATTCAAAGTTGCTCCCTGGATCAAGCTTCAGATACAGTTCTTATTTAAGCCAGGATCTCCAGGGAACGTCAGACCCCATGCTGGCAACATGGAAACAGCGAGAGGGATGTGCCAGCATCAAGAAGTCCTACAGTTTAGGAAGAATTGGCAGATACTGAAGTGCTTTGCATAAGCTTTTTGTAGGTTTTATATTTTCACTTTACTGCAAACATCTAGATAAAAATCCACATTTTCCTTGCTTGGCATCTGCAACAGGAACAGCCAAACCACAGCGAGTCCAAGAGGCTGGTCTGCAACTGCAGCTAACCCCCAAATCCTGTCCCAGCCGTCTGCTCTTTGCTTTGCTACAGCCATTTACCCCTTGTTTCCTCCAGAAGGAACAGAGCTCCCAGGGTAAGGGCAGAAGTACCCCAAGGCTGTGAGGGAGCTAAGTGCTGTGACAAAGGGCTAAGCACACTTGAGACCTTTCCCTCCCCGCTCAGGACAAGTGTGAAGCACTGCCACCGGTCTGAATTTGGCTGTTTCACCTTCAGTGCCTTGAATGTCTCCATGAATTTCTCCAGCTCGTCAGGTGGAAGAAAGTCTCCAATGAAATGCTTCCCTCTGCCCATCTGGGTCAGCTGCTCAGCCCACTCTGCCCAAGAGAAGAGAAACCAGCAATAAGACAGTGTTCTGACTTGGAATTTCAGAGGGTTTGTGAAGCATAAAGTCTCACAGCAACCCATGGTGATTATCTCCACTCAACAGGCAGGGAAGCCACAGCACAGAGCAGTGAAAAGTGACCCTGCCGCTCCCATGCCAACAATGTGATCTCAGACATCTCCCTCTGGAGGCCTCTGAGCAACCACAGAGTGAGCAAGACATTTACATGCAGCTCCCTACACACCTCGTGTCTTATCCATCTCCATGCGCCGAAGCTGGTGCTCCCATGTCCCCAGCTCACTATCCACCTCTTCATCACTGTCATAGTCATACTGGTGCTCCTGGATTGCCTTTTCCCACATCATCTGCATCTCCTGCATGGCTTGCTTGTGCTTCATGATCATATCATACATCTGCTGCATCTAGAGGAAGAGAAGCAACAGTGCACTCAATGAGAGGGCCACTGCAGGCAGCAGAGTGCCAGAGGGGCACAGAGAGCTCTGCACCAGAGCCTGCACCCACCCCAGCTGCCCTACACACACAGGTTATGACAGCTACAAATCCCCACAGGCAGCGAGTGCTGTTGCTTGATCTGAGCCACACACTTCTCAGGTCAAACAGGAGCATTACGTATTATGTACTGGCTGCTCCAACAGAGGCACCTTGATGTTAACTCTGAGGACCGCTGCCCTCTCCTCATCCCCACACAGCTTAAACATCGCCCTCATGTTCTGGCAAAAGCCAGTTCTGCTCTGGTTCCCCCCAGAATTCCAAGTCTCCACTCCCCTCCTCCCCACTGCTGAAGCAATCTATAACCAGCTGCAGATGTGACACACCAGACGTTATAAGATTTGGGGGTTTAGTTGGGTAGGACAGCAATTGGTGGGTTTAATTCATATTCCCCAAGGTCCTCTCCTGGTTCTGCTGACTGCAGCACCACGACTCTCTGGCATTCAGCACAAATCCTACAGATTTACTTGTGGGCCCCTGTGAAGTTTCTTTGCTGTCTCCACTTCCATTTCCCCACCTAAGCCAGTCATGCTGCAACACAGTATGAATGTGGAAATCAGTTCAGGGCATTACCTCCTGCTGCTCCTTCAGCTGTTTCTTCTGGGCTTCGGAGAGCTCCGTCACACCCACCAAACCAACTGGTTTCCCTTTTTCATAACCAAGACCCTTGAGGTCCTGAACTGCAATAAGCACACGTTAAAAGACTTTCAGAAATGAGACAGCCATTGAGAGCAGTGAACCCACAGCTGAAGAGCCCTCCGTGAGGGTTTACGTTCATTTCATGGTGTCAGCATTAACTGAAGAACAACCACCCCGTAGGGCTTGGGAACCACGGGAGCAAGAATGGTCGCAGATAATTCAACTCATCCTGGTCCAGGCCTCTGCCCAAACCATGTCTCACATCCTCGTGGTCACACTGCACGGCAATGTGCTCCACCATGCTTCAAGAACCATCCATTCCCCTCAAAGGCTTCCTGGTGAAGCCCAGCCTTGTAAAGAATGCTATTAGTTACTCAGCATTAGGTCACCAGCAGACCTGAGCCGGGCAGCGTGTTGCCCAACCTGTACATCAGGTGTCTCCCGAGTCCTACGTAAACAGCAACTTCATTCCAACTAAAAAGCAAACAAGCACATCAGAACAGAGACCTGAGCGTTGTGCTGCTTTTGGAAACTGCTATTCCCCAAGGGAATTGTAGCTTCTAAACTACAGGCCCACAAGCTGCATTGCCACGGACGGTGCCCCTGCTTTCAAGAGGGGGTATGTGACATTTCTTCTTGACAATCCCACTGATGTATCCTCCTTTTTCTGCAGTATCCCCTTTTGGATGCTCCTCCTTTGGAATGACTTTTGCTGGTTTATCGGATAAGCCCTGAAATTAGATAGTAACATTACCTGGGCAGGGCACCTATGGGTTTAAAACGACCACAGAGCACTTGGGAGTTCAAAGGACAAGCAAAGGGAAAGGTGGGGTGGGAGTGGAAGGAAACCTGTCTGGAATTGCAGCACCATGAGGAAAGTAAAAGCGACACTGCTGGTACTGCAAGAGAAATTTATCATGAAGATTGCCTTGCAAAGTTGGTTCAGATCTATCCAGCAACGCTGGCAGCTTCCCTCTCCAGCACCTCAGAGCCAACAATTAAATATTTAAGGGATTAAAAGAAGACACAAACCCACACTTGAAAGGGTGCTGCATTTTTCAATACAAGGCAAGGATGTCTTCCTAATGCCTGCAAAAGCCTCCATCCGAATGCAAGTCCAGACTACAGTTAAATGATGCTTCATTAATTATTCATCATCTATTACTTATGAAGCCTGATAGTAATAAGATCATTGTTCATGACACCAAATGTCCACACAACATGCTCATGAGGCCCCAGGGGTCAGCAGCTCCCTTCCTCCCACTGGCATTCAGGGCAGTGCACCCTCCTCTCCCCTCATGCTTTGGGCTGAGGTCTCCAAGGATGGGAAAGCAGGTTCCTTAACTCCAGGCTCCCAAGGAGAGCAGAAACCAGCACATCCACCCTCCCTCCCTCCCGCAGCTACAGCCTCTGCACATTCACACCAGAGCTGGGAGTCAGCTCTGCAGAAAGAGTTATGTAAAACACTGCAAGAGGTTTTCCAAGGGGAGAGAAGCAAGAAGCTGGGTTACGCTGGGCTTGGGGCCAGGACAGGCCCTTCCAGCTCCCACGAGATAAGAACAACTAGGAAAAGAAACCTTTCTATTGTTGATAAACAGCCCGATTTGTGTCTGGGAGAGCACTGAAGTTTGGAAAGAGTTTTATGGATGCACTATGCCTACGCCACATAAAGAGTCTGGCCCCACATGTTAGGTGAGACTGGGGCACTTCAGCATCAGCCCCAGACAAAGATCCACCCCCCGGGTCAAGGCATGGGAAAGCTTCCTGGGAATGCACGGAGGGAGAGCCTCTGCCCTTCACAGAGGTCAGCAGCTCTCTGCCTCAGCTCTGAGCTGCAGGAACACGCAGGCTAAGAGCCAGGCATGGCTCCAGGGGCCCCACGAGGTGCTGCCTTAACCCAGCACACATATAACCCCCTTAAAGGAGAGAGGTGGGACTGGAGCATCTTCTTTTTCTTCCCAGAAAGCATATGCTATTGCTGCTTCTTGTGCTAAAACCACATCTGCTTTCTCTGACTGCTCTGGTGCTTTCTGCTGAGAGATGCTGAAAGTCATTGCAGAAATTCAGCTCTGGGAGGTATTTTTGGAGGCTGGGCCCCAAAGCAGCACAACACAAGCAAAGTTGACAGAAAAAGCAAAGCTCCACCCCAAGATAGAAAAGTCTCTTTGTAAATAAGATCAGTCAGTGAATTTGCATACAAAAAGATAAGATTTGAAAGTTCCTTACACTGGGCTAGCACCAGGCAAAAGCTGTGTGATAAAGAGTTGCTTCCCAGTCTCATGTTCAGCAGCTCTGGGAAAAATACATTTGTCTCCCTGGAATGACATCAGCTTTGCCTCCAGGGTTAATGGTGCAGTCTATCTGCAGCATTGGCAGGAGCCTACCTGAAGCTTTATCCCTTCCCCACATGCCGGAAGAGGAGCAGTGAATGTCCTTTAAGGACAGCAGGAGAAATCCCAGTGAAGTGCCTGATTTCTTGCTTCGTAGCCTGAAGATCTCACTCAATTAAAACTCATCAGACCCAAAGCAATCCAGCATTAGCTTTCACAGAGTTCTAATGACAGCCTGTAATTCCCCATTAGTCCAGAGCTCCCTAATCCCGGTATCTCTGCTCTGTCCAGCTTTGCAGCTGTGTTAGTCCCTGCAGGATGTATGTAGTTAAGGGGTTTGCTATCAATAAGAGAAGCCTTCTTTCTGTCCAGAAGGGCCACACTTTCTCCTCTCATGATACTGATTTATTACTAAGAGTAGACAGAAAAAGAATCAGAAAAGTCTTCCACTCAACCCGAAACTACCGCAAAGCATAAAGGACTAAAGATGTAGGTACTGAGGTACCAAAGCACCCTGTGCAACTCTAACCTTCCACACGACCCGGGAGGGGGGTCACTGAAATTCTCTTCACCTGCCAGGGTGAAGATGTTAATTCTAAAAAGGGACGAGACCATCTGAACTGCTAAAAACCAAACCCTTCCCCCTGCAGAGCACGAACACCATGGTAAGGGTTGGTTTGTTCTGCCTGGCAAATTGGTTGCTGTCCCTTTCTTCTACTTGACACAAAGCCCTGCAGAAAGTGAGCCTGAACACGAGCATGTCCCTGCCTAATGAAGGGGAGGCTGAAAGAGCCAGGGGAGGTTTCAGCAGGCAGCATGCTGGAACGAGCACACAGACACGCCTGCAGCCCCCCACTCAGAGGGGTATGAAGACAGAACCTGAGGCTTGTTTCGATAGCACCTGGCCAGCTACACCATGGAAGCTTCATTACTGCCTGCAAAACACACACAAGCACTCTAGAGGCACAAGCAGCAATTCAAGGTCAAATGAATCCATCCAGGCTGCTATCTTGTCCTGTACCTACGAGGTGTATAGCCAAGACTTCTGTACAGGGCTGTGATCAGAAGAACCACATAGGAACTTCATCTCCATTTGAAGTGCTGGATTAGGAGATAGAGCCTTTCCTTCCCTCCTGCCCTCTGCAGAGCCACAGACACCACAGCATGTCCCTACACCTTACCCAAGCCTAACAGTAAAAGCTACTGAGCAGCTGCCTCCTCTAAAACCCAGCCAAAGCAGAGAACCCACAGACTTGCTGCAGCAACGAACTGCACAGGCTGCCAACGTGTTGAGAATTACCCGTGGCCTCACCCTGCAACTCAGACAAAGGCTGTTGTCCTTGAGGGACTCCATTTCTGTGTGCAGCTCTACCTGCCCCACACGCACTCATGGGCCACCAGAGAGCCTCTGAGAGCTCCTGAGAAGGGCTTCAACTGGGAGAATTCTCCTCCAGCACTCAAAGAGCTGCACCTCCCGGGTGAGCCTGGCAGGTGAAGAACCAGGAGCATGAGCCTCAGCGCTGGCTGGGAACTGTGAAGCTCATCTGTAATCCAACGAACTGAAATGGGTATAAATTGGAACTGGAAGTTACACTCGTGGCCGCCGGCACTCGGGGAACAGCTATTCCCATTTAGCCTTCTGATCAGCTAGAGGGAGATGGAAGTGCTGCACAAGGATTTATCCTACCACGGGGAATAAGCACAGTTCAGCCTTTGATATTTGTTTCTGACAGACTCTCTTCCTGAAGTGAAAGAGCCCTAACCAGCATAGAGGCTGAGGCTGTAATGAGCTATAGCACAGCAGGGTTTCAGAGATCGCTGGAGAACGATAAGATCCAATCCCTGGTGTCAGCAAGATAAAGTGGTTTATCTGGGTTTCCACCCAGGGGAGAGCTAGCTGCTGGGCCCAGCTGAAAGACAGGGGCTGGCAACCAAGGAGATTACAACGGGAGATAAGACTCACTGGATTTTCTCTTTGCAAAGCCAGCTGTGCTAAGGCAGAACAGTTCTTCAGCACAATGTACAGCCCCACTAACCTGTGAGAGGGGAGGGAGACTCCAGCTGCTGGATAAGCTGTGGCAGAGGCAGTTCAACCTTCTCCTCCTCCGGCCCCCACCTGCTTTTCCGCTTCTTCTTCATAGTGCCTGGAGTAGTTGTAGCTGTCTGATCAGGTGCAGTTGTGGAGGAGGAGGATGGTGAGGGCAAGGATGAGGGCAAGGGCAGGGGCAAAGGCAAAGCTGGTAAGCACATAAGTGACGGGGATGTCTCGGGGCTGCTCTTCCTTTTCTGACTGGGCTCTGCAGGCAAAGGGGCACTTGCAGGGCTGGTCCTGGCCTTCCGGAACTCCTCCAGCTTCTGCTTGTAGTACTTGTAGCCTCTGCTGTTTGGCTCATATAGAAACCTGTGAAGAAGTCAAACCCAGCAAGTTTAGCTCTAGCAGTCCCGTGCAGGGTTGGCCACAGCACAGTTTGTCAGGGCTCTTCTCTCCTGCAGTGCTCTTGCAGAACCAGCCTTCCTCACACTTCCCTGCTCTGCAGCACCATCCTGTGTGTGCATGCACACAATGCAGGGCTCCAAGGGCTTTTGCAAGGTTTCCTTTGGGATGAGGAAGTGCATTTCCCATTCATGAGCTATTTCTGGTGCCAAATAAGCACATGTTACACTTGTGGAAGTGCAAGGTCTTCCCTCAGCGTTCACCTGCCTTCTGGAAGATGATTGGGAAAACTGCAAGTGCTCCACAACATGTCAGGTTGCAGTTCCCAAACATTCAGGTCTCACCAGTGGGAATGCCAAACCACTGCCTGAAGAAACCTAAGAGATGACAGGCCTTTTCATCTATCATTGCACAACACACAGGCAAACTCAAACATGGGCTTGCATCCCTCCAGTTGAGTATCAGCATTAAGGATTGCTTCAGGACCTCACAGAGGGCAGGATGGGGCCCTCCCTATGGCAAACCTGATGAAATCCTAACAGAGGAGAGAGTGTTGAACTTGGCTGTGCTCAGGTGGGATCACAGCAGGATTTTAAAGTAAATCCTGGAAGAGCTCAGCTATCAGCACATCTGCCTAATGCAATCCACAACACAAAGGGAGCACCCCAGAGGGCCCAAAGGCAGCCAATAAAGCACCAAGATATGAGCCACAGAATCAGGCTTGTTGAGCGCCACTTCACTTCCAGGGAACACATCAACTTGTTTGTAAGAGCAGAAAAATGAAACATGGATGAGACCAAAGGGAGGCATTAAACAGCTGTCAGTGGCCACTAAAGAGAGCAATTCACATCTGAAAGGCTGAAAAAGACATTCCAAAGGGGGACCTAACAGTGAAGGAATGCTACCTGCACGTTAGTGGGGATGCTGTGCCCAGGAAATTAATTGGGCAGCAGTGGCTGAGTGGTGGCTGGGGGCCCACTCCAAAACACAGCTACAGGGAGGAGCAGAAAGGTTAGAATCACACTGGTACCTTGCACCAGAAAGCAGGTGAGGAGGGGTGGAAGCTGTACATTGATTTTGGGGAAAGCAAATTGATTTCTCTCTCTTTCCGTGCCTTGATTTAAACTGCGAAGCTTGAGAACGTTCAAGTACCAGTGCTACAGAAGTGCACTGTCCTCGTGACTTCAGACTTATCACAAGCTTGGCTTCTATTTCCCCTTAAAAAAGAGCCCCCCAACATTCCAGTGAGCAGCAGGTTTCTTCCTTACCTGAAAGCATGGTTCTCTCTGTTGTTCTGCAAGGCAATCGCTTCCATCTCTGGCCCCCCGGCTGCTATGAACCTGGCCAGTTTCTCTGCAGAGTTCCTTATCTCTTCGTCGTCTGGGGGTGAAACTTTAAGCAGGCTGTCAGTACTGGGCCCAACTCACACAAGCAACAGTCAAAGCCTATCTGGTCTAAGAACCCCAAGAGCAGAATAAGGGCAAAAGGTCGAGTTTAAGTTTTAGAAATATTACATATCAACAGTCATAAGAGTTCAGAGCACAAAAAGCATCACTTTGCAATGACTTTGTAACCAGGGGAGTGCCCATTGACACAGCAGCTGCTGCTGGGCCCGGGGCGAGATGAGAGCAGATTAACACACAAACCAGCTCTTGTGCCCAAAGGTGGACCCTTGTTTCTCTCTGCTGCAGAGGACGGCTGCTTCTGTCCTGTGCAGGGTTACACCTCAGCACTCACAATTATTTCTAGTTAAAGACTTTGCCACTGAAGCCCCCAGGAGCAATGGGAAAGCCTTAGAAAAAGTGGCAAACCTGTACCTACTGTCACCACACCTCTGCTCGTCACCTGAGGGGAGGCTTGTAGGACAGAGGAAATTCTCCATGGAAGGGTCCCAATCCTCACCTGGAAAAGGTGGCTACTGCAGCCCTCATCCAAAGGCACAGAGAAGCTCTGCCCATTAATATTTCAAGCATATTTAATGTTTATAAGGAGCCAGGCAAACATGTTATTTAGCCATGACAGCCTTATATACCATTTGCTACCTGCACAGTACCAGTGCCAGTACTCCAGTGTGCTGGCACAGGACCAGGAGGCAGAAGACATGATTATAAGCCATGGCCAAGTCATAACCTTTCCTTGCTTCAATATTCCACACCTGTAAAGCATGGATAAGACTGCTTAGCTTCCAAGCTGCTGGATCAGTTGGCTGATATTGGTAGCAAGCTCTTTCAGCCTGCAGTCTATTAAACCATGATTTCAGGTGTGAACTCCTCAGCATGACAGCTGAATTGCAGGAAGACTCCTTTCCACAGAAAAGGAAGCTGACACAGAGAGGCTGAGGGACTTGCCAGGGCCACGTGGAAGGCCTGAAACAGAGGTTGGACTGGAATTGATAAATGCCTGGCCCACAGACCACACTTCACCCACTCAATAGTGGTGTCTCACCACAGTTAACCAGATCCCACTGCTCACACACCTAAGTGTTGGCAGCTCAGCCACTTCTGCTGTTTTCCCACCTGAAAACAGGCCCTTACATGCGAGGATTTATGTCCCAAGCAGAAAAGCAAAGCTTCAGAGAAGGAAACAACAGCAGAAGTGGGGATTATGGTCAACAAACCAACCATTTTCATTTATGATAAATCGAACAAGAATATCTTGAGACAAGCCACTTTTCCTAACTGCATTTTCAGGGCTGAAACTTTCCAGAACACACACACTGGAGAATCATTTTAGTTCACTTGAAGTATTTCTGAGAAGTAGAAGGAAAATCTCTTCCAAGAGCCCTTCACACACAGCATGGGACAGGATGCTGTGGGCTTGGGAAACAACTGGTTTTGGCACCAGTTTCAATGCCATCATGGTGATGTCTGATCATCACCTCTTGGAATTCGACTGACAGCCAAATCTCCACTCCAAGTGTCTCCAGCACAGCCCCAACAAGCAGTTACAGGGAGTGAAGATGACAAATTGAACCTGTGCAATTCATACTCTGCAGATCCCACTCAATTACCTTTCTGAAAAGAGGGTGGCCGAAAATTTTGTTTCTCTTTTCTTATCTCTGCCACTTTCTTTCTGTAGTAAAGGAATTCTCTGCTGTTCTTATCATGCAAAAACCTGGGGTGGAGATGGAGGGAAAAAACATCAGCATCAGCAACCACAAGACAAATATTGATACTCCAGGATATAAACAGCCCAAACCCAAATAAATGCAAATCAATTACTCAGGACACACTGAAAATGCGGGTTACAAGACCTTCAGCACGTGTAAATACACAGCTCTCACCTAAGGACTCGCATCCAAATTCTGTGTGTCACTTGAAGGGAAAGAAAGAAGTTTCTTCTGATCAAGCAGGGAATTCTCTGTCCCCAGCCACACAGTGGCAGAGGGGACAGAACCAGGCCTGAGATCAAGGCCACATCCCATGTGCTGGACATTCACCAGGCACAGCCAGACCCCCTCGGCTGTGCCCTGCTCTGGCTGATCTGCCTCCTCAGCACCATCACAGCCTCACTTCCTGCCTCAGTTTCCCCAGCTGTGACTAAACAAACCAATTACTCATAACTTAGCCACTCTACCCACGAGGCTCTTTTCCTCCTACAAAGAGAGAGGGTTGTGCTTTGGAAGACAAGAGTTGCAATGACCACACTTACAAAAAGGCTGGTTTATCCTTGTAGCTCTCCATAGCGACCTTCTCTAACCGTGGTCCCCCTTCAGCCACGAACCTAGCCAGCTTTTCCACCAGTGCCCGGGTGTCCGCATCCTCTGGGGGTAAAACTTTAAGCAGCTGTCAGTACTGGGGTTCAACTCACACACCAAACAGGCAACAGGTACATTACTTCTAAGAACCACGGAGGCAGACAAAAGTAGAACGGGAATGGGAAGAGAAAGGATGAAATGGGGGATCCAGTCTTACACAGCTGCACAACTTACAACCCCCAGCTTACTGTCAGCCTCCTCTAGCAGGAAGTTCATGTTATGTCTACCTAAGCCTTCAGTTTGGATCCCACAGTTCAGGGTACAACTTGAACTGCAACATTTGCTTCTGACAATTCTAGTCTGTACCAAATGCAATGGGGAGGAACAGGGATTTGGCTTTAACCACCACGTTACTCATCATTAGACTCCAGTTCCCGACACATGGCTCTGTACCCAGCCACCGGAGGCAGACTGAGCAGCTGGAGCATGTGGCTCTTCCTGCTGGCAATGCCCATGTCTCAGCTCTTGCTTGGAGGGAATCCCACCAGAGAGGAGAGCTCAGCCTCCAAGAAATTGTATTTTGGCTTCTGTGCCAAGGCAGAAATGCACCAACATTGACAGTGGTAAAAGCGGATGCGGGATAGATCCAGTGGGAACTAAACACAGGCTCTTGTCTAGACAACACTACATTGGGGAGGGCACTGAGCGAAGAGCACATGGGAGAAGAGTTGTCCACACTGGGCTAGATCTGAACCCATAGTCTTTGAATTAAGGGTCCATAATCCATCTTTGCTCACTGCAGCCACATTCCTGCAGTGCATTTCATGCTTAAGCTCACACTTGCCAGGCTGATGTTCTTAGAAATCCCACCAGAAAAGGCTGGATATGGTTTTGTAACCACATAGAATGAAATAAATGAGGACACAAGGCTCAGTGTGACTTATTTAGCAACTCCAATCTCATTTTATACTTGATTAATACACACAAATGAAACTCAGATTATTAAGCAAATCTGCCCCTGGGCTTCCTGGCCTGGGTTAGCCAGATCAAGTTGGTTATTTAAGTGCTGCAAGATTCCTCACTGCTTTTCTATCTTGCTTCAGGACCTGAAGGGGAGATTTGCTAATGAAACTTTGGAAAGAGGCAGAAACTCTGATTTCCGTTCTGTGCCTCCCATGTCATCCTATCGCTTAACACACACAACTTCCCTCCTCTGCACAATCACTCCCAAATTCTTCGTTTTCTATCATTAGAAAAGCTAAGGCTCCATTTTCAAGCCTTCCATCTGTGTATTGTCTAGAGGTCAGCACTAGACATAATAAATGCCAGTTATACCAAAGCAGACTTCTGATGATGAGCTCCATCAGGAGTAAAACATCTTTGGTCTCTACAGGTTATTTTCACAGAGCTGGTGAAGCACTTGCCCTGGTAACTCAGAGAAAACATACCTTTCTAGGCACAAACCCAGTCTAACTATGGCAAATGATCCCCCTCCCGCCCCAGGCTCGGGCTGGGTCGGGAACACCTCCCAGCATTCAGTCCTCAGCTTTGGAGGAGCCCCCCAGCATTAAGTGCTGTCATTCCCATGTCATGATGCAGGAGTCAGCACAGAGGAACTGTGCTGGGAAGACCAAGCCACAGCATAAGGAAAAACCACCCTCTGCTGAAGGAATGTTGTTCCCACACTCCACCCCTCGCACTAGGGTGAGCTGCACCCCAAACCAGGCAGAGCACAAGGTGTCATTTACCTTTAATTTCCAACCACTGCTCATAATCTTCCTCCTCATCCTCATCGGGCGACTGAAAGACACTGTGGCGGGTGGCGCCTGGGCTCTGTTTGGGCTGGGAGGAGCTCCGTGCTTGGTGCAGCATGCTGCTCAGGACCTGCCCGGCCCGCTTCCCAAACAGCCCAGGCTTCTTCCCAGCATGTACTGCTGAAGCAGTTGCCAAGTTCTTAGAACTCGGGGGAGTTTCTTAGAAAAGAATGAGGGGAAAATAATTCCTGCACATCCTTTAAGCTCAGGTTACAAACAACATCTCAGGCAGTGACAGAGCTGCAACAGGCCGTTATTTTCAGAGTGAGTGAAAGACACTGGTAAAAGCTGCAGGATGAAATGAAAGCTGGGATGAGTTTTTACACAGTGAGGGTCAAGCCAGCAGTGCTGCTGCTTTAAAGCAGCCAGAGAGTGGGCAAACCTCCCTATCACATCTCTGTAAGCCAAATCTGAAGGGGTCATGGCTGCTTTAGAACTTACTGCCACTAGTAACCGCTCATAGCAGGGATTTAAAGTGAACATACATGGAGGCAGCTCACACAAAGCTGGTATCATCAGGAGAAGGAGGGCCTCCCGTTGCTCAGAAGCCGACCTACCCGTAGTTGACTTTTCCTTCTGCAGCTTGAGAAACTGCTGGAGGAAACTGCCATCATTCACAAACTTGTTGGAAACACAGGCTTCGCTCTCAGTCCCGTCATCTCTGAGTGGAAGAAGAGAAGTAGGTGACGGTGCTCACCATCCTCCCCAGCCCCCCTCAAAGAGAAACCACCAGCCACCACCAACCTCCCTCACCTAACGTGGAGAGGACGACAAACTGCCCCGAAGCAGAGACCCGTCCAGCTTGCTGCCTACAGCACTTACCCACACTCTCCACCTGGCTTAGTTACCACTGTGTTGAAACAGGATTGCTACTTGCTCCTGCTTCCATGAACCTGAACCCGCGGGAAGCGTTTAACTGCCAACTGCTCTGACTCTCTGGGCTCACGGGGGTAAGAGAGAGAAAAACGGGAAGCAGAAAGAAAACGTAATAATACCCTATTAAAACCACGACCGCTGCTAGCACGCACACCCCCGTTCTCGCCTGGCTGGATCGACCGACGTACAAGCAGCCCCTTCCAACCCTTACTCGATCCCCAGCCTCAGCTCTCTCACTATTCACCCCCAAGAGCAAGAGCTTTGCAGAGCTTCTCTCTTCAGTTTCCTCTCTCAAACGTGCCCGTTTCGTGCAGCAAAGCTCGCAGCTACAACGCCGCCATCCCCACGTACTCTCCGAGCAGAGGGATGCCCGGGCAGCTCTGCCTCGCCTGCTGCTCAAGCCTGGCCTCGATTTCCCTCTTTTTCTGCGCTATCAGCTCCTCCTGGTGCAGAAGATTCACGTTTGTCTTGGCGGATTTCGACTGCGCGACCCCAAACCACCGGCTCGCCTTCCCTGGGGGAGGAGGGGGAGCAGAGTGAGCGCCGAGGGGCTGCGGACCCCGGGGCACCGCAGCGCCGGTGGGGGGGG